TCGCTCTCACAAAACACGCTGCTACCTCTCTCACAACTCCCTCACTCAACTCTCTCTGTAAATCGAACAACAGTAGCAAAATCACAACCACATCGAAGGCTGCAACGACGGGAGGAAGGGTGCTACACAGGATCGAACATTTTGGAGAACTTTGTTCCGGTCAAGCCGAATTGCACGCTGCAGCGACGGGTTTCAGTTGGAATCCAGATTTCGCATCTCCAACTCAAGGTTTTTGTTTCTTTACTTGTAATAATCTGTAGTTATTCGCGAGTATTCAATTTTTGAGTTGTTGGGTCCGATTTGCCGTTTGTTTCTTTATTTGATTGGTGCGAAATTGAGGCGGGTTGGGGAATAGTTAGTAGTCACTGGTACTGAAGGTGGGGGCGATTGCTGGTGCTGGAGGTGGAGGTGGAGCTGGTGGTGGAGGTGGAGCTGGCACTGGAGGTGGAGCTGGGGCTGGAGGTCGAGGTGGAGCTAGCCCTGGAAATTCAGGTGGTGCTAGAGGTGGAGCTGGAGGTGGAACTAGAGGTCGTGCTGGAGGTGGAGGTGATGCTGGAGGTCGTGCTGGAGGTGGAGGTCGTGTTGGAGGTCGAAATGGAGCTAGAGTGTGGGTGCTTGTGTTCGTGGCTGCCTGTGTGGCTACAATAATACCTTCATAATTGTGTCCTCTTAGTAGACACCTGAAGAGCAACCGAAGTGTGGGTTAAATAACTATAGGTTTTGGGTAGTTTTCTTGAGGGTGTCGATTCTTGGATTGATATTGAGCCCCGAAATAGTTCACATGCCCTGACCTCTAGTGGAACTTACTAAAAGTTATAGGTTTCTTCCTCTTGGACAGTGTTTTCACATTTTGTACTGGACTTCGTCAAATCTAGTTTTTGTTTGCAATGGCAGGTTTTATTGCATATTAGTCTGTTAATTATGAAATGCGTTCGTGTTATCTGGGAGTTCATTGATGCAATTTTTAGCTGCTTCTGGAGAATTCATTTACTTTATTGATGCACTTTTTGGGTGGTTTTAGGTCTGGAGAATTTGTTTCGCAGCTTGGTATTTATCCTACTCCATTGTCAGGTTAAAGCTCCATATAGTTTTGGATGGTCTTTATTGAGAATCCATTTACTTTATTGATGCAATTTTTGGGTGGTTTTAGGTCTGGAGAATTTGATTCGCAGTTTGGTATTTATCCTACTCCATTGTCATGGTAAAGCTCCATATAGTTTTCGATGGTCTTTATTTATAGTGACTGTAGCTGAATGCTTACTAGAGCTAAGTGAAATCAACAACATGCTTTATAGAAACAACCTTCAAATCCTTTGTTAATGGGATGGTTGAGCTATTTATCATTTTTTATGTTTATCATATTTTATGCCCTCAGGTTTCCTTTTTGTTACATATAGATCTCCATATTAATCAATCATCAATACTGATGTATTACTTTTGCAGTATCCATGGACAATGTGCAATCATCATGTTTGATGTAACAGCTCGGTTGACTTACAAGAATGTTCCAACATGGCACCGTGATCTTTACCGGTGTGTCTTTTATTTATTTATTTATCTGCATGTTTGGTTTGGTTGATATTTATGTGAGATTGACGTGGTATTGAATCCTTTTTACCTTCAACCTCAGTGTTTGCGAAAACATCCCAATTGTGCTTTGTGGGAACAAGGTTGATGTGAAGAATCGACATGTGAAGGCAAAACAAGTTACCTTCCACCGCAAAAAGAATCTGCAGTACTATGAAATATCAGCAAAGAGTAACTACAACTTTGAGAAGCCCTTTCTGTACCTTGCCAGGAAACTTGCTGGGTAAGGAACTTCAGCTAGTGAGGATCAAAATATTCAAATGTATGGTTTTCCATTCAAACTCCTCTTGTTCCTCCATTGGATATAAATGAATCCCGATCCACTCTCGTGGCTCCAAGAAGCAGTCCATCAATCAGATCAACCTCTACAATCAAGGCATCAAGCGTATGCTAAACCTGTTCTCACAGAAGAGATGAAGTCATAACGCATAAGATAAGCTGCGTTCAGAACGACCTAACAAGAGCCAAGTTGGACTCAGGGCCGAGAGGGCTGCTTCGGCTGAAACGGAAGAG